AGCTCTGCTCTTGCTGTTGGAGGCTTGGCACAGATCTGAGTCCAAGTCCAGATCTGAAGAGCAAAGCCCAAAACCTGCCAGCTCACACGTGGGGCCAAACCTTTCCTTGGGCTTGGGGAAATCTCTGGGTTTTGGAGTTCAAGCATGATTAGTGTAATGTGCTGAAATGTGTGATCCAAGCAGAGTTCAGACTTCAGGCCTACCAGCTTTCTTCCTGCACTTGGACTCAGTCCATTGCCTTGTCTACCAAAAAAAAAAAAAAAAATCTTTAAAACAATTGAGTGTAATCTCCAGGTTTGAGTACTACAGGTTTACATTCAAACCCTCACTCCTGTCATGCATTTTGCCCATCCAAACAGCAGGCAATATTCTAGTGCTGTCTCTTTCTTTCTCCCTTCTTTCTTGACAAGAAGCTGCTGTCATGCTATTTTGATAGCCTGCTTTTAGAAAGATGAGATAAATACACACACATTTATACAACAGGTTTATGAGAAGCCCTTCAGTATGGGATAAAAAAGAATCTGAGGTGGCAAAGTTGTGACAGAACTTGGATGTAGTTAATTGGATCTACTTATTTGCACCATTTTTTACTAACTGCCTGTGTCAGTCCTGGGCTGAGAAAGCAATTTAACTCATTGCCTGTGAAAAATGAAATGACAGCAGCTACTCGAGTGAACTTTCACATTAAGGAAGCATGATCTGGTCTTGATCAAAGACCTTATGTTCCTGGAGGACCAGAGTTCAAGCACCAGCCTCTAATTTCAAGGGAAGAAAAGGTTTCTGTGTCATTGCAAGGTAAATTTCAGAGTTTGAGGCCAAGGTAAACTTTCATGTCAGCACTGTTAGTGACCCTGTACTGAAGCTTGACTTGATCATCTCTTCCTTTAATTCTCACTGTCATTTTCTGCCTCCTGCTAGGCTGAATTGGCTCCCCCCACTTCAGCAGAGAGAAGTGATGTTATCAGCAGTCATTGCTCCCAGGCACTTGTGGATCACGTCATGCATCTTGCAGGTTGTACCAACAAAACAAGCTCTGAGGAGCGGGGTTGGCATCCAAGAGAGACAAGACACCAGACACCAGCTCTGGGTGGCAACAAGCCATAAAATTGTCCTTGCAGGTCTGGTGTAACCAGAACAACTAATAAACCTCTGGAATGCTGATGCTGTGGTTGATCTGGTTACACCAGAGAAGACATCTCTTGCAACTGGGATGGCAGGAGCCAAATCATGAGCAGCTAATGCCAAAGGCCACTGCTAGAGATGAATTAATGTGACTGTTGCTGTGCTGAATAATGACTGTGACTCTGTCACACCTGCTGAAAACTTTTTTAAGCATTTGGCATCATGATAACATTGACTGGCACCTCAGGGCACCCATGTTGACAATACAAGGGATTGTAGCCATGGCAGCAGTGATTTTGCAAACCTCAAACACCACTGGTGTTGGGTGTAAAGCCATCAGGAAAGTTATTAGAAGAAGACAAATGTTGTTACAGAAGGATCTGTAGCCCTGCAAATCGAAGTGAATGAAAAATGTCAGATGCAAAGGTGGCCAAAAAGAGCAAAGGTCCGTCCTTTTCTATTTTGCTGCCTCCAAACCTTCAGCCTGTCCCAGGACAAGTCAAATGCATCCTTCCCAAAGCCTGCCAGCATTGCCATTGCTGTCCATGCAGTGTGACACCTCTGGGGTGCTCTGCAGATCACCAGGGCTCCTCCTCACTGCTGGGTCTTGCTCTGAAAGCCAAGACATCTGTGAAAGGCAGATCCTGGGTGGTTGGAAGTTAATTGGAAGGTCTAGCTTGCAAATCAAACCAGAGGGAGATGGTTTTGCAGGAACCAGGAGCCAGAAACTCGGCTCGTGTTGAAGATGAAGGGTGCCCGGGGCTCGTGTGAGTTCCTGGCTGTGCCCCAGGAGCGAGGGGTCACCCAAGGTGAATCATCTGGGGCTGCTTCCCCAGCTGTAAAGCAGGATAATTCTGTTTTCACCTCAGTTTGTCTTCTCTGTTTAGATTTCAAGCTCCTCAGGGCTGTGTCTGATACATGTATGTACAGTTCCTAGCTTAATAGAGTCATGATCCAAACTGAAGCCTCCAGGCACTCCTGGATATTATATCATTGCTAATTTCACAAGCGGTTGCAATCAAATTCCTGTATAGGGTAAAAAAAAAAAACAAAAAAAAAAAAAAAAAAAAAACCTGAAAAATCCCAGAAAGGAATAAAGCAAGCTATTAAAAACTAAGGAACGTTTTTGCTGAAGTGGAAATAATGGTACTTTGTCCCAAAATGTATAAAATATGTATTGCAATTAAATTCTCTATTGGCAAATTGCTCTACAATTAAAAAACACAGAAGCTTGAGTGAGGCAATTAGAATAATAGTAGAGTGTTAATTATAGCTTGATGGATTCTGCATGCTGTCAGCAATTACCTTCCAAGTGTGCACTTCTGAACCAACTCCAAATCCACAAAAAGACACCGGCAGAATTAGAAGTATCTTCCGTGTTGGCATGCCTCTGCCCTTTTAAAATTTGTTTTCATAAATACTTTTATAAGCTATTTAATTAGATTTAATGAGGTTTGAAGAAGAAACATCCTCCGTGCTGCACACAGACTCCAGCACAGGCATTGACTTGGGGATGAGGGAGAGCACAACTGAGAAGAGCCTTATTTCCTTCCAGCTGCCCTTACTGTCTGTAAGGGATATCTTGTGCACATCTGAGGTGGTTGGACCCAGGTTCCAGCAGAGTTGCTTCTAGCTTTCTGTTTTATTAAGGTTATCTGAAGCTTTTGGATCTCTCCCTCTCCATGAGAAACCCCATACTTACCCCTTTGCCCTAATATTGAAAAATACTGACATGAATGAAATTAATTGAAAAGCCTAGTTGTCAAATCTGAAAACACTTTAAAAGAAGCAAAAGGTCTCTTTATTCCTATGATACCATCCCTAGTGAGCAGGAGAAATCCTCTCCATAAAAGTGCTTTTGGGTCCAGCAGAAGACTTGACTGCTGTCTGTGTCAGGCAGCTGGCTGAGACGCTAAAAAGTCCCTGTGCATTGTGTCAAATAAAATTCATGGCTCCACTGACCAATTTGTAAGAAATCTGAAAGAAAAGGAGAATAGGCAGGGGGTGAGAATGTCCTCACCCAGAGTGACAGCTTCCCAAAAATGTGTCCCCTCTCACACCTTCCCTCAAGGCAGCATTTCATCACCGTGATCACTGATGCTGATGGTCCAGAAAGACCTTGCAAGATTTTTGCTCAGGGACTACGGGCAGGAATGCTGAAGCCCAGGCACTCAAAAGCCAAATTGGTCATCTCTCTAAAGGCTGGCTTGTCACCTGCCTTCCTCTTCTGTCAGTTGCTGATAATGCTCCAGTGTGCTGCCTTTTCTTGCTGCTGGTTCTTACTGATGGGTATGGAGAGCAGATGTGCCCTCATCCTACTCACGGAGCTGCCAAAACTCCACGTCCTGCATGGAGAGGAGGCTTTGATAGGGGACTTTGACAACCTGTGGGCCAAATGGAGTTTATTTGGTTGGGCTTAGCAGCAAATTCACCATCATACCTGTTTATTTTGCTCAGCTGAACCTACCCTCTGGGCAACACCAAACCAGCTTTTATGCCTTCCATGAGTTTGTACAGCCTTGATCCCACTCTGAACTGCCATTGCCCTTGTGCAGCCTGGTTTTTTTGGAAAGAGATGTATATGATGAGCAGCATGACTGGAGCAGCCTGCAGTGCAATGCCCCGTTCTGTTACGGGCAGGAAATCCTGCTCTGTCCCTGCACACAGGAGGAATCTGCAACAGAAGGTTGCAAATTTAATTAAAGGTAGTAAAAGCAGGATTCACCTGTGATGTGTGTTTTTCTCTCTAAAATATCCCTTTTCTCCCCACGTGTCACAGACATATTTTATGAAAAATCCTTTTGCTAGGATTTTTTCTTGTGAGAAGCTTCAGCTTCTCCATGTTTTGCTGTTTTGAAATGTGATTTGGAGAATTATTTATTCAGCATGTGAAATTATTTTTACTTGATGACCAATGACCGCCACTGTGTTGAGGCTGCGAGCAGCCACAAGATTTTATCATCATTCCATCCCTTTTCTTTCTAGCTTTCTGATGAGTCCTTTTGCTCTATTCTTTTTAGGATAGTTTTAGTATAGCTATAATATATATATAATATAGTATAGTATATATTCTATACTATAGAATGTACTATATATTATATAGTATATATAATACATTATATAGTATATATAAACTATATAATATATTATGTAGTGCATATAATAGAATATAATGTATATAATAAATATAAATATATTATACATATATACTATATTATATATAGTATATAATATATTATATAATTATATATTATATATACTGTATATAATATAATGTAATTAATATAATAATCAGCCTTCTGAAACATGGAGTCAAGATTCTCATCTCTTCCCTCATCCTGGGACCCTCGAACACCCACACCCACGTAACTCCTGCCGTAAGGGGTTAAATCACTCTCCCGCCCTCCGTGGGTGCGCTGAGCACTCCAAGAGCTTCCTTCCCTAACTGCTGTGCTCGGCCGCATCCAAACTCGACCCGAGCGGCTCGGGTGCCGTCGGGTGAGCTCGGAGCAGCCTCTCGGAGCGGTCCCCGGGCGCACGGATGCTCCAGAAGGAGCCGCGCCCGCGGCGCTCCCGTGAGCCCGGCTGGGACCTGCTCCGGGCTGGCTGCCCCCTCCACCGGCCCCGTGCAGCCAGCCCCACGGCCGCTCCGTGCCGTCCGGAGAAGGACAGCCCGGGGTGCAGGGACGCCCCCAGGCCCCGGTGTTCCCGCAGCTGTCGGGATTTAGGGGAGGCAGGGTTTGGGAGCGCGGGGACGAGCGCCGGGCGCGGCCCCTTTAAGAGGGGCAGCGCGGGGGGGCGGCGGCGCCCGCGTTCACACCTGGAGTGGGAAACGGGGGCGGGCCCCTGCGCTCGTGATTGACGGGCCGCAGCCACCAATGGAGCGGCGCGGCGCCGCGGCGGGGGGGGCTCCCGGCCAATGGCGGCGCGGAGGGGGCCGCCCGGCAGCCAATGGGCGGGCGCGCGGGGGGCGGCGCGGCTACATGTTGCGGTGTCGCCAACGTGGGTCCGCGGCGAGCGGCGCTCGGGCCGGGCGGCAGCGGCGGCGGCTCCGAGCCCGCGGGAGCGCACCGGGACCGGCCGGCGCCCGCCGAGCCCGAACCGTGCGGCGCAGAGCGGCAGGAGGAGCAGCAGCGGCAGGAGGCGCTTCCCGCGGCGGGGACGCGGACTCGACTCGCCCGGCTTTGCCCGGTGGATGCCGGTGCCGTAGCGCCCCGCGGGGCCGGCGGCCGAGGCGATGCTGCGGGCGGCGGAGCGGCGCTGAGCGCCCGCGGCGTGAGCGCTCCTGCCGCCTCCTCCCGCCGCGGACGTTCCCCGGTGCCGGATACAAAATGGCGCTGCCGTCACGGGCGGCGGCGGCGCTGCTGCTGCTGGGGCTGCTGCGCTCGGCCGCCGGCGGCTGCCCCGCGGGCTGCGCCTGCGGCGGGGACACGCTGAGCTGCGGCGGGCTGGCACTGCCCGCCCTGCCCCGGGACCTGCCCCGCTGGCCGCGGCACGTGTGAGTACCGGGGGGACCCGCGGGAACCGGCCGGGGGGCGAGGCGCGGGGCTTCGGGCAGCCAAAGCGCCGCGGTTTGGCTTGTTGTCAAGGAGAGCTTTAAACAAAAATCCCCGCGAAACTCCGGGTTGTTTATTGAAGCGAAGCAGGCGCTGCGCGGTGCGGAACTCGTGCCGTGAGGCGCTGTCCCCTGTGGCACGCACCGATGGGGGGATGGAGGCGGCGGGAGCGATGCTGCTCCCCGGTGACAAGCTGCGGCTCGGGGCTCCTCGGACCCTTGCGGGGCTGGCCTCCGGGTGTCCCGGGAGCGGGTTTGGTCTCTTAGCCGTGGCATCTGCTGGAGATAACGGCCAGCTTGGGCTTCCGAATCCTTATTAGGGCATCGTCCGTCCATCCATCTGTCCGTCCGTCCGCGCCGGGGCTGCGGAGCGGGGCGCGCCCGAATCCGGACCCCAGCGCCGCGCCCGCTCTGCTGGCTTTTAATGCTGCCGGCCTTTTTAGGCTGTGAAATTGGGGAGAGAAAGGCAGTCGAGGGCTTCTGGGGAGTTTCGGTAAAATCCAGGTGTTTTCCAGCCGAGGCTGGCTGCGCTCCCGCGGCGCTCGCTGTGTAGCGCAGGCATTAAGCTGCGGTGTATCGCATGTCCTGGGTGGCAGCTGAGCTCAAAACCCCGCACCTGGTGGTTCCTGCAGCCCCGTGGGATGTTTTTTTTTAATCCCTGGAAGGGTGTTTTAAAGTGCTCAGGTTCGTGGTCAAGCGCAGGACGGTGTCTCTGCCATTTCCCGGGTCCGCTCCCGGTGTGTGACCGTGGAAGCCGAAATAAAACATCAGACACTTGATGCTCAGGAGATTCGGGGGGGAATGTGTGCTCAGCATTGACATTTCGAGTGATTTAACAGTCCAGGAGGACAGAGAGTATCTGTGTGTGCTCACAAACTTGTAAAAATAAGTGCCCAGAACTGTTAGTTAACTTCGGAAAATCAGTATCCAGAAAAGGAGAGGGAAACAGCGCTTCTCTTGCGGGGCCTTTCTGCCGTTTGAACAGATTCATAAATTATCGAATCTCTGAAACCCCTGGTTGTAATAGATACTCCTCGGCCCGGCCAGGAGAGAGGACGGTCACTGAAGTGTTGCTGGAGATCATCCAGCTCCTTATTGAAAAGAATTATTAGAGGTTTGTCGGGTTCTCCTGGTGGTATTCACTTTTAGCTGCAGAAATGCCTTGTTTTACATTAAATTATCGTGTCTCATTGAGAGGAACGTGTGGCCTGTGCATTAAAGCCCTGACTCATCCCGTTCACCTGTTGCTCTGAAGGATCTTTCCCTCACCTTTCAGAGCAAGCTTTTAATAATTCCAGCATTCCCGTGCGCCTCTTAAAATAGGACAGTGTATCTTTGTTTGGGCAGGGAAGCGCGTTAATAACCCAGACAGAACAAATTTATTGTAATGTGTTTTTTTCCGGAGTGCTAATACCCAGGAGTGTCTTTTTCAAATGGAGCAGGTTTTGGAGTGTCTTGTGTTTAGTTCAAATTTTATTGGTGAAGTAAGCACGTATAAATCTTCTGCTGTGGACCCGTGGGTTGTTGATCTTTTAGTCATGTAGAATACAGTTTGTAACTTTGTATATTACAAACTAACCAAGAGTTGGTTAAATGATGCCTACTGTATTTGAAAATGCAACATTAAGGCTTTTTTCCTCTCCATAGCTAGTGTAACAAGAAGACATTGAAACTATTGCAAGTACTTTTGTTTTTAGAGTAATACTGTTTCTAATCATTAAAAATTAGTTAAAATAACCTTTTTCAGTTTAGAAGCACAAGGATGAAGCATGTTTTTCAGGCTTAGTGGGATCGTAAATGTTCATTTTTTGTGCAGAGAGTTGAGCATTAAACCAGTTCTTCACTGGTTTAATGCTCTCCATAAAAGCACCATGCACTAGCGAAAAGTTACCTCCGTGCAAGTATCTGTGCGGAGAGTTGATAACTCACTTCTTCACTGGTTTAATGCTCTCTATAAAAGCACCATGCACTAGCGAAAAGTTACCTCCGTGCAAGTATCTCTGTTTCTTTTTCTATTTTGTATTTTTTTTAACGTGCCCTTTTAAAGAAAAAGAAGGCAAATGTGAATGTCTGCAGTGGTCCATGGCTGGTGCGGGAGCGCAGCCCAGGGGGTGCGGGTTCTCCAGCCATAAATTGGGGAGAGCCAGGCGATGCTGGAGCTGCGCATCCCTCACCTCGGTCCTGCTGGGCAGGCTGGCTCCCGCCGGAGGTGTTTGCTCCCCGCGGTGATAAGCTCGGGCATGTTCGATCGCTAATAGGAGACGAGATAAAATCCAGTTTCCAGTGACTCTGGTGGCAGTGCTTTAACTTCATTAAGGCTCTATTGAACAGCCCCTCCTTAGCAGTTTATCTTTATTCCTAACGAGTGCCACAATGCTGAGGCAGTGCTTGGAGTCGGTTTTCAGTGTGTTGGAGATAAAGCTTTTGTTTGTCGGCTTGGAAATGCGGCTCGGCAGCCGGGGAGGGTTCTGGAACAGACTTAATCACGCCGCGTATTTTGTCAACAGGACTATCAGTACCGAGGAAAAGCACTGTGGCTTTTCGAAACTATTGTTATTTCTCTGCTGGCAGCAGAGCTCGGAGTTGTAATTTTTCTCCCAGGCTTTCAGAAGGAATAGCTGATACGCAGAGGGGCTGCAGTCGCTCACATTTTGTGTAGTGTGGCATGGATGTTTTTCAGGGTTGTTTTTGTTGTTTTTTTTTTGTTAAAAGCAACAGGCAGCTCAGCACTGTGTACCAGTTATATAAGTGTTCTTGACTTGCTGCACAGGGCACGTTGCAACACTGCCATGACACATCCCGTCCTTGCACCAGCACCCAGCTGCAGCTGGGGAGGGTTCCTGATCCTGGGAAGGATTCCTCATCCTGGGAAGGGTGCACAGAGCTCCTGTGCATTGCCTCCCTTTGGAGGTGCTTCGTGTCTTGTGGTGTTTAAGTCTGAAGTTTGTTTTTACACTAGTGTTATGCGTGGCGTAAAGTTTAGGGCTAAGCTTAAGTACAGAACACTTCGTGCCCCAAAAAAGCCAGGGCTCCAGCAGTGTTGGTGATGTGGCACATCCCCTGCATCCTCTGCTTCTGTCTCTCCATGCATCTTGATTTTTGAGGAACGCAGAAGAGATATTTTCTTTAGGCGTCATGTATGATGGAGGTTTTTTTCCTTTTCTATTTAGGGATGAAGCAACAGTATTTTAGGTACAGCTTTTGGTGAGAAGATTTAGGGACAGTGAGGCTATGGTTGCATAGTTAATTCATTGCTAGCATGGTCTGCAACAAAAAAAAAAAAGTTATTTTAAATGGAAGTATGTGCATTTTTGACCCAAATGAGTAGGAGATATTTTGGGGGATATTGACCATCTGTGCATGGACCCTTCTGCCTCTGGGTCAGTGTGCATGTGCCTGGCATGTCTGGGAAAAGGCAGCATCCCCAAGTACCCAGGAGAGCTGGGCTAAGGGCTGCTCTCTGTTTCCCAGGAAGGCTCCAGGCTTTGGCTGTATGGATAAGTTGCCCCGAGGCAGCAGCTGCATGCGTGTTGGCTCTTTGCACGGTGCTGCTGCTCTCTGGAGAGACCAGGGCAAAGTGTCTGAATGCTTTTTAAAGCCCTGTGGGTGCCTGTCAGTGGTTTTAGCGTCTGGAAGTGCATTTGAACGAGGAGTCAGGAGCAGGCTCTTTTTGGGCTCAAGTGCATACACACAAAGATTTTGGTCAATGAAATTTAATGTTTGTGCTCAAAATTACCTGTAAATTTCTTGCTGAACTGGGGTTTTCACGTGTCAGGTCCTGTATCTGTGCTTTCACATGTTAGGGTAGTCTTTGCTTGCTTGGTAAGGGGCTCTGCTGATGCTGGTTTATGGGATTTTTTGGGAGAAGGGCATTACTTGCTCTGGGGCTCTGGAGGGAGAGGAGGAGGTGGTGTGGGGGACTCTCCTGCTGGGAGTGGGGAGTGCTGCTGGCAGTGCCTCTCCTGCATGTCCCGCTTCCAGGCCCGCTGAAATAATGGAACAAAGATTAAGTAATGGTCACGGCGGGCTCCTGGCCCCGCGCAGCTGTGGAGCTCAGCCGTGCCCGGGGGCTGCAAGGATGGCTTGGCAGAGGGATGTCCTTGCTGCAGGTGGCCGGTCCCTCTCCCTCCTCCTGGGGCAACACTGGAAACCCAAACACTGGCCAGCGGCTCCGTGCTGGGTGGTGCTCCAAGGAGGTTTTCCTGCTCAGGTGGGACAGTGCTGGGAGCTTGCAGTGACACAGGGATCTGGTGTTTCCCGGAGCGCTGTCCTTGGCAGTGGCCCTGCTCCGGGCAGTCCCCAGGGCTGCAGGAGGGCTCTGCGCCCTGCGGGATGGCAGTGCCTGCCCTGCTGGGGAACAGCAGAGCCCCTCCTCGCAAAGCTGTGCCTCTCCGGGCCGGCTGCTTGAGCACAAATAAATACATGTGCTTGCGAGTAAATCCACCCTTCCTGTGCGAACATGTGTCGGTGGATTCGCTGACCACCCTCAGCACGCCGCAGTATTTATTTATCAGTTCCTACAGCAGGGCAGCAGTTAACAGCAAGCCCTCTGCATCTGCTGTCTGAGCTCCTCATCTTCATCCCACACTGAGCCACAGCCGGGGCAAAATTTGCCTCATCGGACTAGGATTAAAAGTAAATATGAGACTGATAATAAAGAAAAAAAAATACCCCCACTTTAGAAGCCATTCTGGCTTTCTCAGAAGTCCCTGGCTTCTAGTGAAAAGCTCCAGGACCTCCTCTGCATATTTCTCTCTCTTTTGAGAAACTTCACGGCATTTAATCACTTTGAGACTTTTCCTCTCTGCAGCGACTGCAATTTGAAACGCAGGAGTCCCATACAAAAGAAGCAAGTGCTCAATGGGCTGTGTTAATATTCAGTGCCATTTACAATGGGTGCAGTTTGAAAAGGGGAGAATGGATGGTCTGGGAGCTGGGGGAGG